GCAGACTCTAATTATTACGCGCAAATTCGCAACATAGCCACTAATCCTCCACTAATACCATCTTCCCTAACTTACGATTTATTCCCTCCAACATTGTATATGCATGTAATTCATATCGTGCATATCGAGACCTTACCGTAGTTTAGATGTAACCAACAATAATGCAATTTTATAGAAAAAAAAAACTTTACAAAATTTAGCTACTGCCTTTCCGGATTTTTAATCTATCAATACAGTTTTTCTATGGCTTTGGCTTCAGAGAAAAAGCTTCCAGTGTTAGTAAAAAAGTGTGAATGTATCGAAACTTGAAGGCAAGTTCTTGGTCGGGTTACGTCGAATTTATTAAAGCACATAACGCTCACATCGCATCCAAAAGGAAAAATCTTTTTAGCAAGGCCCTGTCTGAAAGCGTTTATTTAGAAGCGCTGCTTAATTTGCCAACTGGTTTCCTATTTCTGCCACATTCAATTTTTTTTTGTTTTATTTGCCATCGTGTTTTTACATATATTTAGTATAAGACCAAAAAATCTGCACAACGTACTCCCTCTTCCAAAGAGCCACAGCTAAAAATCAGATCCGGAAATATAACAGCTTGAACATATTCAACGCAAGTAATACAAAAATAGGTATAACAGTTCATTTATGAAAAACATCTACATACCTATTTTTTTTAGTTGTTTTGAAAAATGTGAGTGGTATGTATGTTTTTGGTATCAATTATACCATAAAATACGCTTAGCTCGGCTAAAATACAAATAAAAATTGTTTTCGAGATAGGTACTTGGGCACTCTTTTCTAGACTTGAATGTGAATCGAAAGCCTCAAGCGCATTATTTATTTCGAACGGGTTACCACCGTGGGCCTAATTATCGTTGCCAATTTACTTAAAATTAAAATCGTCGATTCCCAAAACTAAGCTGTTTTTGTTTAATCTATTCGAAATGTTGTTAAAAAAGACATTTGCAGAAATTTGTCTGTAGAACTTGGTTGATTGGCGAAATTTCATAACGAGACAGCCACATTATGAGACCTTTAAGAAAAGGAGATATCTTGCTTGCGATCCCGCTAATTTGGACAACAGACCGTAACTAGGAATAACGGAGTTTCATAATGGTTTTCTCTGAAGGAAGCCGTGAAGAATTAGGGTTGTCATTAGAACCAAAGCTTTAGACCTTAATATCAATTTAGTTAGTGAATTTTTGTTATTATTTTTTCCTCTAATTTTACCCACTGATTTAATTTTTTTCTTTTTGTAGCAAGGTAAAGACAAGAAAAATCGAAGATCTAATTAGTTTCGAATTGACTTTAATTAACGCGTGCAAAACTCTAACAAAACTTAACAATTTTTGCTAACAACTACAAAGAACCGCTGATGAGACTTCAAGCCCCTCCCGCTCCTTTAATCCACAATCAACTAACCATTAATAATAATTAACACTGAACTAATAAATATCTCATGTAAATAACCTTTTGTGCATTCTGTTTTACAAAATTTTTGCTGCTGCTCTGAATTCCTGAAAACGCAGATACGCCGCAAGAGAGTATGCAGATCCCTATTTAGGACATGGCATAGGACCGGTACCCGGCTATGGGGTGAGTTTTTTTGACATGTAAAAAACCTAAATATAGAGCAATTAATTAATTAATATTATTTTTGTTGAAAACAACAGGCAACCATGTATCGAGGTGGATTCAATCGTTTCACGCCATATTAATTTAAGAAGATACCTGGACGACTAGGTATGGAGAGCAGCAAGTTCATGCTGTACAGAGGGAGCATTCTCCTAGCAGCTGCGCTCACCACTTGCGCTCACCACCCACACTCAATGATTTACACATCACATCACATGAAACCAAATGAATATGTATTGCATAAGGACATAAATTTAGTGTTAAGTTAAGAGATACATGGAAAACCTTGAAATGCTCAAGAAACAATGCAATTTTTAATGAAGCAACCAAAAAATACTCATGCCAACCAAGCGTAATTACGATGAGATTAAAATCAAATATTTATATGATAGCACAGCCAAGCAAAGATTATAAAGTATAAACTTAGTTGAAGATTATCTATAACATATACATACTCACATATATAAAGAGATATGTGCATATAATTGAAAAAGGCAGTAACAAAAAAAAACAGAAGACACAATTAACGGAAAAATGCGTAGTTGTTAA